CTAATTAGTGGAAACTAATGAGAAATGGGAAAGGCAAAACTTATGACCAATAATCAAAGAATTTTATGATCCTGTTTTTTTTAGTAAAAATTTCCTTGTTTATTCATACACCTTTACAGAAGTATAGCTTTCCTCTAAATTAAACAAAAATAAACATAACATTATGGAATTTGAAGCTTGAGAAGAGTGTTCTCTTAAGGAGAATAGAGGGAGAAGGGGTTGTGTTTGGGTTGAGCTGTGTCCTCCCCAAATTACTATGTTAATGTCCTAGTCACTAATACCTCAGAGACAGGGCCTCCAAAGAAGTAAATAAGGTCAAATGAGGACATCTTGGTATGTCCTAATCTGATATTATTGTTGCCTTTATAAAAAGTGGAGATTTGGATACAACTGTGTACAGAGAGACCATATTAGGACACAGGGAGAAGATAGACATCTATAAGCAAAAAGCAGAACTCAGAGAAGGCCACCCCAGTGCATACCTTGACCTCAGACTTTGGCATCCAAAACTGAGACAATGACTTTCTGCTATTTAAGCCACCCAGTCTATGGCACTTGGTAAGTTCAGTCCTTGCAGACCAGGGTAGGCAGATGTTCTAGAAACCCAAGATGCTAGTGAGATCATCACATAGAGTCATCCAGAAAGGAAGTTAGTTGAGTCTGCAGAAGGGATGGATAACTGGGAGGCAGAGATTGGATTTAGGATTTTTCAGAATGTACCTGACAGTTAAAGTCACAAGAATGGACCAAGCCATTGAAAGGGGGTGTAATGGACAGTCTGCTGTATCCTCTCAGCCAGTCCGTGACTAGGTCTTCAAACACCTATTTGAGTGTTGCTGTGAAGGTGTTTTCTAGAAGTGATTAAAGGACATAATTAGCTGAGATCATTCTAGACCATAGGGAGATCATCTTAGATCATCTAAGTGGGCTTGATGTATAAACCTTATGAGCAGAATTGGGGTTTGCTGGGGAAGAAATTCTACTTGGGGATATTAGCCTGTCCTTTCCAGCTTTCTGCAGCCTGTCCTTTATGGATTTTGGATGTGCCCAGCCAGCTAGCTCCACAACCATGTAACACAATTCCTTGCAAGACATCTCTTAGCATGTATGTCCACTACTGGTTCTGCTTATCTGGTTAAGCCTTGACTAATACAAAGAATATGTCAAGTGGGACGTAAGACAGCTGAGAAGACCCTAGGAAAAACATCAGAGGAAGAGGAATATGTGAAGAGAAGCCCAGAAGATGAGGGGGAAACTGAGGAATGAGGGTTTTCAGAGAAACCCAAGGTTGGGCAAAGCATGCCAGACCTCCACAGATGTCAGGCACCAACCAAACTCCAACAAGCCTCTGAAACATAAAGCCATAACTTTGGTACAGGAGTCTCAAGCAAAGCAACTAAGTGGAACCAGGAAAAAGAGGAATGGGGAAGAAAATGAAACCAAAAAGATAGATTATTCCTCCAAGAAGTCAGCTATTGCAAAACACAGGTTGATAAAGGACATTAGCTAGAGGAACTCAGAAAAATGGAGGGTTGGTGGATATTGAGCATGTTAATGTGCTGAATGGACAAGAGACAGTGGACAGGGAGAGTAAAAGGAGATAACTGTATAGCAAAGCCTCCAAAGGATATGAGGGTCAAAACACAGGAACTGGTATAGAAATAAAGAAGTTCTTCCCCTGAGATGGAACAGAATGTAGAGAGAGTAGATATCAATATGCACAGGAGAAGACACCACAGAAACTGAATTCTCCTCCCTCAGTGACCTACTGGTTAAGGTCATTCATTAACTGTTAAAAGAAAATATAGTCAGATGAAAAGTTTGGGAGCCAGTGCATATTTAATTCTGGCTTCCATTTTTATAGGAAATGGGAGAAGAAATTGGCTCATGTTAGAAAATAGGATAGGGACATAGAAAAACAAGAGTGACCTTAGTTTGTTTAATCTGCCCTTGCTTTGGTCTTCTAATTTGTTAAATGGGCATTGTAATAATACATCTATTGCTATTAAGATTAAATAAAATAATTCCCATGAAGTAGATAGATTTTCCTATATGACACATATTAAGCATTTATTAAATTTTAATCATCCTTGTTAATGCAGGAGACATTTGTTAAGCATGGAAAGTTGTGGTAAAGGTAGGAGATTGGATGTTTAAGATGTCAGATGTAGGGCTGCCTGCCAAGGTCCAGAGTACAGGTGTGCTGGACAAGAGTGTTTACTAAAGTTTAACATGGCACTAGGAACCTGCGAAGCATACCCAAGGGCACATCCAAGGATCACAGCTCCCAAAGTCTGGCAAGGGGAAGAGGCGGGAGTACATAGATTTTAGGGTTTTCACAGTGAAATGTTGATGTGCCCTAACATTAGTGGGTCATGATTGTTGGTGCACAGTAAATGATGAGAACCCTTGAAACTTTAAATATCTTCAGAAGATACTGGGCAGCATTCCCAGGTGCCCAAGGTGGGAAAAACTATCTGTAAGGTAGGTCTAAAAATAGTCATCAAGCTCTAGTTTTCCAAAGCTCTAGTTCCACAGTTCTGATTTTCTCCCCAAGTTGGAGCTCTCCATCCTAGACCTATAAACTGCCCTTCATTTAAGCATCTAATTGTCACCTCTAAAAGGATTTTCTTTAAGACTGAGTTACACTAGGAACTTTTTCCATGTATAATATCTTAAAGCAGTGTCTTTCTCAAAAGTGATCCTCCATCTTTTCAAGCAAAGTGGTCAAGCCCCCAATTTCCATTAGAAGAATGGCATGTGGATTCCACACTTGACCTGGCTCAGTCCTGAAAAGCATATCAAACCTCCTTCTTGTTGCCCTCTCTTGAATCATCATCCTATTCTTCTCCTGAGCTAAGTAAACCCAAGCCCATCACCTTTTCTTCAAAGGTTTTATTTTTCAATTCTTGAATCATCTCTCAGCATGAACAAATTCTAAAAACTTATTTTTACCCTTTTGGCTATGAATTTAAGTGAACTGTCATACCTGGATTTCCAGGGTAGCAGTGTAACACTTCATTTTCATTTATTGTCATACTTAACCTCTTAATAATGAGAATGTGGTAGGAGACTGGGTGACATTGTTCTGTGAACTACTTTTTAAAATATTTTTAGCTGAATTTATCTCCATCTAACAAATTTTAATACTGGCTATCTTTGGGAAGTCTATCCAATAAAGTCCTATGTAATCTGCAAGAATTCCTTTCTTCCTCCCAACATGTCTATCTTTGCACAGAGCATCTAAGTGCTGCTTTAGGATTCTCCATTCTTTTTAATTCTAGTCTACAGCCATTTAAAACATTGAAGAGCAGCTAGGAAGCTCTTTTCAAACTCAAAATTTCAGGTACTCATTGGAGTAACAATAATATATATCTGTTTCACTTAAGCACTTAATATGACATGAGTAGAAACAGAGGAGATGTGTTTGTCAGAGTCCTCTTTTTGTATAACAATGTTTCATTACCAAAAAAAAAAAAATGGACCTCTATACCAAGATCTCCTAAAATTTTTAATTACAGTGTAGAATACAGTTGTCTGTTCTTTTGTGTAATTTTCTCTTTGAATGGAAACCAGTCCTGAAATTACTAATGACTTGGACCAATGATTTGTCTTTAACATATTTTCTCATATTCTTTACTCATCACATAGAAATTGCTGTGAAATGCGATAAGCAATAGGGAAACTAAGGGTAGCATGCTACAGATTCTAACTGTAAAGTGAGCTTTATAATATGTATTTAAAGGCTTAACTAATGATTTTTAACTTCTGAGTATAGTTGGAGATAAAAGACCTGACATTTCAAAGCTCCCTCCCCACCAAAAAGATAAAGAGGAAATTTAATTATGGTGACTTTCCAGGAGAAAGATTCATGCTACTGTAGATATTGTTTTTAAAGTTCACAATTAAAGGCTCTGCCTCAAAACTAAAGTCAACATGAAGATGAAGAAAAGAAGAAGGAGAAGGGGAATGGGAATAAGAAGAAGAGAAGAAGAAGAGGAGGAGGAAGAAGAAATAATTAGTTCTTCATCCTTTCGATGTCCTTAATCAGGGCAACTTGCCTCCTCCATTTTCAGGGACAACAGGAAGGAATGTAAGCTTCCTTATACACTCTCCAAGGTGTATTTCCTCAGCATTTTGTCTTGAGAAAGTGAAGCACATATATCTCAAAAGGCATACATAACAAAGTACATCTTTTCCCTTTTCTGTCTATTTAAAATTAAGAATCAGTTTACTTACCAGAAATTTAGCACATATGTGGATATTTGGAACTTTATTGGAAGTTGACATCAACAAAATTCCACAAAAGAGCAATAAAATAAAACCTTCAATATCTCATAGTGGGGAAGAAACAGCAAAGCAATTTTAAAAGTATCTGCACAGTCCACAGTTTAGAGGATGAATATTAGTTGGCTAATTTACAAAAGTCACTGATAGTGTAAAGATATGAAGCATTTTAGTACTAAAAAGGCTCCTATATGGAGTATTATAACCTTAAATAGAATATCAGGCTTTGTTTGTTTGTTTCATAAACCATAACATCAGTCTGATGAGTCACAGAAAATTCTGAATTGCCTTCAGTGCACTTGAGGGGCCTGAAATTCATCTTAAGAAATATTTAAAGGGCAAACAAAGTGCTGCAAACTGGAGCAGGCAACCAGGTAAAATGCCACGAAAATGGTCTGGCTTCTTGATCAAGAGACATTGCCCATACAGTCTGAACCTTGGTACCTTCACACACACTGTTTTCAGAGGGTTTTGGTGCCCTGGGATGGGGAGTGGGGTAGGTCTCTCTTAAATCCTGGAGGCGCTTCAGGCCTGCAGTCCCCCACTAAAAGCTCTCCTAGGAAATCCTTCGCCTGTTTTAAGAAACAACCCTCTCAGAATCTCCTGAACCCTGCACAGAGGAGTCCCCCACCACCAGGCTGGCTGCTCCAGGATCCCGCCGCTTCCCTCCCTGCCTCGTCCTGTCTCCGCCACGCCCTGACCCAGGTGCTCACCGGATGATCACGAACATTACCAGCGAGTTGCCCACCAAGCCCACGACGAACACCACCGAGTAGACCGCGGTGATGATGACAGGGATGGCGGGGGAGATGTGCGCGGGCTCCAGCTGAGCTTCCTCGGAGCCGGCGCTGCCGTTGCCTGACTCGGCCCAGCCGGGGAACCAAGCGCTGCTGTTGGGGAGCAGGCAGGCGCTGGGGGCGCAGGTGGGGCCTGGCTCCCCACGGAAGATCTGGACCGGTGACTCCATCGCGGGGCGGCTGCAGCTGGAGGTCGAGGAAAGGTGGCACCTGCGAGGCTGTGGAAGCGAGAGGACACGTTGGACCCGGACGGGCAAACTTTGCCAGCGCGGGGGCCAGCGCTCAGAGGCTGGCAGCGCTGGAGACCAGCAGCCCCTGGATGCTCATCCCGTCGCACATTCCCCCGGGGGGCGGGATGGGGAGGACCGACCTCGCTGCCTTCCCAGTCAGCTGACGCCCCTCTTGATGACCCGCAGGGGTGGAGAGAACTCGCTTCTAAGATGACCCCCGCCAATTCCTAGGTACTGTCCACTGGTAGAACTGTCCGCAATATGCTGATCTGAGTTCCAAGGACAAGGGACCCCCCCCTCCCGCCCAGAGCACAGAGTCCTAGCTGGGACTGCGCCTCCTAAGCCCAAAGCTCACCTCTTGTTCCCAGTGGCAAACGAAGTAGTAGCGGTGGAACCGCGCGTTCCCAGGTCTGGCTCAGCCTTCGGGATCTGTGTGCACCTGTCGCCCGGCGTCACTGGCTCTTGGACCCCTCTGACGCTCTGAGTAGAGCGCGTTTTGCCAAACACGGTCCTGGTCTGTACTGCTCACTCAGTGCGGGGCTCCCACTACTGGAGGCAGTTTAGAGAGACTGGAAGCAGGTAGGATGAAGCCAGGCGCTGGGTACCCGCTGGCTGAGAGCTGGGCTCTGGCTCCCGCCCGAGGCCCGCCCATCGCGCTCGGCCCCGCCCACTCGGAGCTATCCCCCCGCCCCCCACCAGCCCAGCCGCCCAAGGAGAGGCCCCGCAGACTCACCCTGAGCACTAACTGGCTAGAGGCGCACACTGCTTTAATGCTTCTAAAGCCTCCCCAGTGACCTAAGTCTGAGCTCTGGGTCATTTACATTCAGTAATAGGAAGAGGCATGCTTATTTAGTGCCAGTGTTCATCTGGATAATTCATAATGTGTTTAGAATTTATTGTCTGACACATCTTTTTTTTTCAAAAAAAAATGAGAAAAGCTATGGTAATTTTATCTGTATTTTGTTTGTTTGAGCGAGTCATATAAAGTTGTGAAATAATCCAGTTAGAATAAGACCAGGTCGTAAAATATCAATGTTTTCAGGTGCATACTTAGAATTGCCTGTGCATTTTGTAACTTTCAGTCTGCCTCAATTGGAGTGGCAGGCTGCACCTAAACTGCATCTTATAGGTACTAACTGTATAGCGTGTTATTACCTGCCAAGACAAACCACTGTCCTTACCCAGGCCTCGTTCCTGGTCCTGGAGGGTGATGGTGTTTCTCTCCCCTACATTAATCCTGGAAGCCATCACACTGCCCTTCTTTACTCTAAGCCCAGAATTTAACCTCTGTAGAGACACTCAGTCACCACGATTTCTTGTATGACTGTGCCAGTCCAAGAATTACTGCCAGATTCAGCTGGGTGAAAGAGGCCCTGGGGCAAAGGCAGGGATCCAGGACTGTCACTGAGGTGAAGATCTGGAAAGAAAGTGGGGACATTCCCTTTCTCATTGGGTATTGGAGGTGGGATAGGAGAACAAGGGCTAGGCAGTGAATTTCCCAAGTGGATTCACTGTCTTAGCCTAACAAACTGTTTTCCATAGTTCAAGATCACACCTCAGCACGCTAATGGGCACGACAGATCTTCCCTTCATCAGCTCACAGTAGAAGAGGGCTCCTAGTTCTTTCAAGACACCCTGACCCCAAAGGAGATTTGGTCACCAGAAGTTTCCCACAGCCTTAAAATGCACAACTCTTTGGAGAAGTATGATACAAAGAGCAAAAGAAAAGCTTCCCTTTGGCCAATGGTATCACTTCAACTTTGAGTTTCAAGATTATTAAATCTTGTATCCTTTAAGTTTGTTTGTAAATTCTTTTTTTTTGGGGGGGGGGAGGGGGATACTCCTGAGCTGCTGGGATTACAAGCCTGCACCACGGTGCCCTGCCTATGTACAAATTCTTACTGGAAAGTACCATGTTTTTGAAAAATAATCAGCCCTTCTGGAACCTCCATGTATCTAGGGGTGACTTCTCCATAAGGAAGATGACAAACAGAATCTTACCCTCTATGGATAAAGACTAAATTCCTGCTAAAATGATCCTATGCTATCACCAAACTAGCCAAGCAAAGACGTTTTATTTGGAATTAGCAAAAACTGAATAGTACTAGAGTTGAAAAGAAAGTAAAAATAGTTTGTCAATGAAAACTATTGGGAAATCCAAAATTACCCATGTATCTTTTTATCTATTACTTATCTATTTTTCTATGATCTCATGCATTAAAGACACAACTGTCTTTGTGGTACACACTTTTGAAAGTGTGCCTATCTTCCTTTTGCACTCACTTTCCACAGTGGTTGTTTTCTTTATTTAGCATACAGATAGGTGGTTCACATAGCTAGATCTGGGTTCAAACTCATATGTTCCAGATGTACAAACATGTATGTTCAATAGGTTCTTGCCTGGTGCCTATTGAACAGAACTATTTTATATAAGGAGACAAATGCAGACCCCCTATGCCCCAAGCGCAAAACAAATTTAGGAGGGAGGTATTTAACAAAGAAAACAAGAAAGGAAAATGTACTACTTTAAATGATTTAGGTAAAGTTTTGAAATTGTAAAAAATTCTAAGAGTCGGACAATACAATTCTAACAATTTAAATTCTATCTCCTTTTCTCATGTATATAGTTGTCCCTCAGTATTCTCTGAAGATATGTTCCAGAACCTCCACAGATATCAAAATCAAAGGTGCTTAAGACCCTTATATAAAATGGCATAGTATTTGTATATAAGCTATGCCCTCTTCTAAGCTTTCAATCATTTTTAGATGACATTATATTTGACATATATTAGACATAATACAACTGCTATGCAAACAGACTGTATTGTTTTAGGGAATAAAGACAAGAAATAAAAAGTCTGTACGTGTTTAGTAAAACCACAATTTAATATGTATGTATTTTTCAATCTGCAGTTGGTTGATCCACAGATACAGCAATCATGTATAGAGAAGACAGACTGTACATAATGAGTATGAAAGGGTTTCTCTAGAATATATTTCTATTACTAAAGTAGGATGCAGAACTCAGCCAGGACTTCTAAAATGTAAGAAGATGTCCTAATGCTGATCATTGGTAAAGAAAGCCCTACTAGTTGAGATAGTCTTTTGAAGATAAAATAACACTGATTATAATAAAAGTGGTTTCGTTTAATTTATGTACCCCTAATTTTCTCCCTTTTTCTTAACCAAACTAATGGCCAAAATAAACTGAAGTCAACATGAGCAGAGCATTGAGATGCCTTGAAGCGACTCTAGTTGCCAGGGGAACCCGCCAGAGTCTCTGAGTTTGCTAAGTGTGGCTGTTTCTGTGGTGTTAGATAAACTACTAAAATGCTATGCACTATTATATACTGATATAGATCCTGGATGATAAACTCACTAGGACTTATATCTGCTTGCCATTCTACTCGATACAAATAGCTTCTAACTACAAGGAAAGCATTTTAAAAAGCAAAAAATGTTGACAGATTTTTATTGGTTAATGTTACAAAGCATCTTAGGTGCTGAGCAGCTCTGGCATTTCTGTCAGATGACTAAATAACTCACCAGCCAATCATGATTTATTTGTTTTCTTGTGGCTCTGTGGACAGACGCAAATGTGTGTCAAGTTGAAAGGAGCAGCCCTGTTTGCTTAAGACCCCAGGTTCAGCCACCACAGGACACTAAGCCAGGACGCAGCCAGTCTCAACACATATTGCTAACTGGACCCAAGTGGCAGAATTAAAGGCAGGCCGTGCAGTTGAAACAACAACCAAGACAAAGTCAATCTCTTCTCAAAGGGAATGTGCACTCAGGCATGAGAGAGAGAATCTAAATGTTCAAAATTTTATGAATAATTAATTAAAAATTAAATAAAGGCAACTCTGGTCTCCGTTATATAGGCAAAGTTTTAAGAAGAAAAAAATAAATCAGAGTGACAGTCAATGCATCAAGTTTGTGCACATTTCAAAACAGTTCTGCCTCTTGGAGACATGTTACATACACTTGTGGGTAAGTTGTCATCACAAATATTTAAGTTAGACTTCTTTGGAGTATAAATATCCTGTGAGAAATTGTACATGTGGCTGGTGTACAATTTGCACATACATACTGAAGGCCTGAAGATGCCAGGTAACCACAGTCAGTGACAGCATCAGGGGTGTTCTTTCTGAAGAAGTGGCATTGAACTTGACATGAAATTGTAATTGTTATTACCCAAGTGAAGAGGTGTTGGAGGGAGGGGGGGGGGGTAGAGAACCATTCCAAAGCAGGGAACAGCACTTGTGAAAGAGATAGGTGGGCAGGAATTGAGTCTGTTTGTGGCACCGCAGTCAAGGTGTCTGAGCCTGATGGTCAAGAACAGCATGGTGTAAAGTAAGATGGCACATCCCATTGGCTTGCCAACTATTTTGACTTCAGTGACAGAATAAGAGAAAGCCACTGAAGAAGTTGAGACAGGAGGGAGACAAGCTCCGATTTGAGTTTTTGAAATCTCTTGTCTTTAGTGTGGTGAAGGTACTGGAAGGGAAGAGAGAAGAGAGGAGTTCCATATTGAATCAGCATTGCTCACAGTTATTGCTAAAAGCCACCATCGTATGATATACAGTATATAAATGAGGGGTAAAATAAAAACTCATATGGTCATAGACTTAAATCTGGAACTTGTTTTATATTGAAACTTGTCACTGAACTGAACCAACCAATTTGAAAATTCATTGACAGTCACACGCCAGGCACCAGGGTAGGGAGTAAGAAATTTTGGTAACACAAGGCAATGAATGGTCTATCAAACATCTGTGCAAAATTCATCCAGAGGAGGAAAGGATTATCCCTGGTAATGAAGAAAAGATGGCATGAAGGTAGAGATTCGATGTGAGCAAGAATTTACCAGGATGAAAAAGCACAGAGGCACAAAGGCAGTAGTATCAGAGCCGGACGGTTGTGGGGAGCTTGCTGCGTCACAAACACAGAATGGTGAGAAGGTGAGATCCTGCGGAGGGTAGAGAGGACCACATGTGGAGCCTAGCAGTGGGGCACAGGAAGCAGCAGTCCGGAAGCAGAGCTCTAAAAGGACTGTGGTGCACCCAGGGAGGGGAATGAGTGGCAGTGGGGCTGTGAGTGTACTATTCCAAGAAAGGTAAGGGTGCCTTTAGACAAAGAGCAGCGCTAAAGCTTTCCTAGTCGTCTAGGTAGGAGATGACTCAACACTAAAGCAACATAGCTGCTGAGAGGATGGAGAGATGGTAGTTTGGAGAGCCATTTAGGAAATTAAATTGGCACGACTTGCAGTTTGAATGAATGTGGAAGTTAGAGAGGAGGAAGCGCCTAGAATTACCTTAGGAGTATGCTTGGGTGACCAAGTGAATGACAGGACGATTAACTGAAATACAACTTTGAGGGAAATCACAGCAAGCTTTGAGTAGAGCATAATGAGGTTTGGTTTTGGAAGGTTGTGTTTGAGGCACCAGGGAGGTATTTGTTTGTGTACATCATGTGGGGGTGATGAGCTTCAGTGTAGGTGAGACACTGAGCAGTTAGAGCCATGGAAATGAATGAAGGCACCGAGGTGAGCGTGGCAGACCAATCAAACTGATGAGAAAAGGCTGAAGAAACCATGCCCTTTCATAGGGACCTAGTAAAGAA